TCGAAAGGCACTAAACGAGTCATCCGTACCATATTCTGCATTTTGGAAAATCGATAGCTCGGATGAAGTACCCGAGTATAAGCATTAATTCTCCTACACGCGGTGCATTGTATATCGCGCAATACATATCTCAACTTTTCCTCCCCCTCAGTCCTCCATTTTCGTCGTCGGAAAATTCAGTGCGCTACGAAAAAATCTAAAGAGAAGCGAGAACGTCTGGGACACCCCTCTGAGAGAAGCAGACAGATATATTAGACTCGTGAGAGGAACAAATCCTTACCGGTGTAATAAAATCTTCTTCCCTAAATCTCTCTTGTGAAGTAATAAAGGAAAAATAATTGCCGAACGAAGCAGTCGTTCCTCCGCTTTTATTGCATTGCTGTAAAACAAATCGGCACACTGCGGTGGATTGTTCGAACATTCTGTTACTCGCAAAAATATTGTTCGGCGAAGGAGTCAAGGAAATCAGGGTCCTTCTTGAAAAGTTCGCATATGAAAAAGTAAGGACATACTATATATATATGGTGCACGTAAAATATATTATATTACAGTGAAGAGGTCCAAGGTTCGAATCCTGGCTGAGATAATATTTTTCGTAATAAGTTTCTTGCTTATTTTCTTTCTAATCTAATTTAGGAGGGATTATTAGCGTTTCAGAATGATTGTGTTGAAACCGAAAGTTATCGACTCGCAATCATATCTGGAATAAATTGAATTTAATAAAAGAATATATAATATATTATTTGAAACATCAAACTTTGACCGATCTTGACTTTCTTTATCGTATCTGATATATTATAATATTTCTCTAGTTTTACGTATACGATACTTTCCAAGAATAAGGGCCCAGGAGACAATATTGAAAGTGATGAAAACCAGGAATGAAAGGAGAGGCAACGTACACGTAGTCTCCTCTCCTCTCCTTTAAGTTTCAAAATATTTATTTCGTGATTACATGCGTCGTCTACGTACGTATGCGTGCTGTAATTACACTAGCCCAGATTTGCGCAGATCATTGCCAGGTGTTAATTACGCGGGAAATGCCGACCGCGAAACCATCGTGCACGCATGGATAATACACGCCGTATATGCGCAAGATACACACACACACACACACACACACACACACGCACGCATGCATGCACGCACGCATATGGATTTCTCTGAATTAAGGGGATCGATATTCACGCGTTTCTCTCTACGCGTTTGCATGCCGAATCCTGTTACTCAATTGGTCAATACTATCCGCAGGATACGTTTGATACCGCGACGTTGACCGAGAATACGGACAAGCTTGCGTAATCTGGATTGGGTTTATTTGCGTGAACGCGCAATGCCCGCGATTGAGGGATCGATGAAGCATCCACGATGGAGGACAGACGTCTCGATATGTCCATATGACACGTATATCTCTCGACAGGAAGATTTCTCTCTTTGTAGAAAACGATTGTAGATATTATTTGCGTTGTGCGAATTTCCTTTGGCTTATGACAATACTGAGACATAAAAGAAGCTCGATAAAATAAAAAAGATATTTAATTTATAAAAATGAAGAAATGTATCAGTTTTGAGAAAACTCGACAATATGTCCTATAAAATATAATAATATAAAATATGATCCTAAAAAGCAAGTAAACAATGATAAATTAATTTCTTATTAGTTGAGAGACAAAATGTGTTTAATTAATTAAATTTAAGAAATTGTAATAAATATCTTCGAAATTTTTTTCAGATTTATTTTTAATTGGAAAATTTTTTTAGTGTCTCAAAATCTTCAATCAAGTCTATATTTGGAAATAATTATAGCAAGGAAAGATGATTATCGTAAGATATGTTCCAATATGTAATATAACTGATGATGAAAGTCATAGAAATCACTAATCTAGAATGGACATCGATGTGTAATATTTAATGTAATATTTAATGACGTTATACAATGATTAACGTTATTAATATTTTAATAAAACTATACATATTACATTGCTCACTGAATGCGCAATCATCATTCTTAGCAAGTTTCCAACGATTATCCACTGAATTATTGGAACATGTACGAAGAGCTGCGATTATCCCACTGTCACAATTATCATGATTGTTCCTCATTATTCATCGACTGACAGAAACCTCCCTGTCGCGAGATAGACGTCGATTAATCGCGCGACTCTCGAAGCCCGATTTCGACGAGCATCCTCCTCTCGCCTGTGTACACGTTATGTACACAGTAATTCGCGAACGTATATCGATCAAGCAAAACCTTCCAGGAACGAAATTTCGGACAAACGATCTCATACGTCCGGCATTCAGCGCTCGACGCTTAGAAAAATTCAAGGACGTTATTCAACACTGATATGTCGGCCTACATCGAGTATCGTGTTTCACTCGCTCGTGTCTCTCGTTCGTCAACGAAACCAGCGGATCAAACGCCCGAGCAAGTCACCAGCATTTCATTCTCAACCCTCCTCATATTTATCCTCACAGTGTTTTGATATGCAATCGCTAAACAAACGCACGCCAATCGTACGCCATCAGCTACGCGAATTGAAGCTCGAAAAAGGAATTCACATCTAGTCCAAGATTTTGATTTAATTCAATGACTTAAAACACAGACTAACTATCGTAGTCGCTAAATGTATTTATTACAACGTTGATTGTTAATATATATTTAAAAAATTTTTTTATCTCTAACAAATACCTAAACATTCATTTTCTCTTATAATGGAACATTTTCAATCGTCATTTTTATCAAGAATTAAAGTAATATTTCTATATTTTTTCCAAGTATATATAAACTCTCCTCTTTTATATCTTACTTGTTTTTATGTATAATATATACACACATACACACACACACACACACACACACACACTTTAATCAAATGTCGATGCTCGTAGCGCGTCCAATTTATACACTGCTCTCGTCCATGATTAGATGCTATTTCGAGGAAAGAACGATGACGTTCGAATGCTTTCCTCGTTCGTGAAATAAGAGCAATAGGTATCGATGCATCACCAATGCCACGCCATAGCACGGTGGTTTTAGTTCACCGCCACATTTGTTGGGGCGTCGAGCAACGTGAGGTGGTGGAAAGCTAACCCATTCGATCGATCGATCACTGGACCCTCTTTCTCGTTCTCCAGTTAAAAGGAATCTCCTAAATACAAGGGGACACGAGAATTCGAGAGGTAAATCGCATAAACGACCGATACGACATGGCCTTCTATCAGAATTCTCTATTCACTTCGTTCAGCACTTTATCCCTTAAGTGATTTCAACAAATTGAATTACGATATACGACGTCACTTCATGCCTGTGGTATTCATCATCGCGAGAAAGTCACGTTAATGGCAATCGCGATGACGGTCCAACCTATACATCGTTCGTCCTAGTTTCGAAGGATCCAGAGAATTGATATGAAACCATATAACTTTTCCTGTTGCGCATTAAAATTCTATTGTAGAGAGCCGGAAGACTGGATTAATCCCTCACGGGACAATCTGGGTGGATCTGGGTCACGTTTAAAAAGAAAAATAATTTTATACTCGCTCGAACTATGATTATATTTACGCAAATTCGCGATATTTAATATCAAATGTTAAAAATTTGCAAAAATTTCATCGAAAGAGTTTTATTTAAAATTAAAAACTAGAATTTGTTCTCTCTGGGAAAAATACCTTATATTAGATACACAATAACATCCGAACGATATTTCCTTTTGTATATTTAACTCTATATATGCATTTGTTTCATTATTAATCTTTATAATAGGAAAATGTTTACGTATTTACGTATACAATTTATATGCATCAGGATAAAATATATTATTTCAATGCAACATGAAGAATTGTAGCATTACAACAAAATATTGAATTCAGCAACAATATTTTGATTGATCAAATCCCGAGAAAAGTTATACGATAATAGTTACATGATTGCATATTAATTACGGTTCTGGATCGCAAATTGAAGCTTCTTAACGAAACTATACATTGGAAATAATTAAGGTAACGATTATTTGTTACGCACAGAATTATATATACAGTTATAGCGTATTTAACATGATATGCATATCACATCAGGGATGATTGTAACGCATTACCTATTGTGTATTTCCCACTGTTTGCGCTTTTCGGTACAGCAATCATTCGTCATATCGAAACCACATCAAATTATCTCCCGCATGATAACATTACGCAACATCAAACATAATCGACTTGTAGTATATGAGTAGGATTACGGAGACATGCGATTCGAGTCTCGTAAATCAGTCGCAGTTTACTGAATCCGCATTCAAGATTAAAATTCATTACGATCAAGCTCTCTTAAATTAGGCATATTTAGAGTATACAGGCAACTTGACAAATTTTTAAGAAGAATGAATCATTGATTTAAATCCATATGCTTCCTTACTGGTTCATAATTAAGCAAGCGCAGAAATAATTAATGACATCGTGACCGAGAGAAGTAATCTGCTTTAGTAAACTATATTTAATCCTCCGAGTTCTTAACATCATTTTGAAAACTTTGAAAAATTGAAGTTTATAATTTGCCTTCTTATTTGAAAAGTTTCATTCTTTTTTACTTTATTTTTTTAAACTTACGTTAAGTGCAGCAGTTATAATCCATTGTTCGAAAATTTATCGAGATTTGTATAACGTAGTAAATAATAGATTACCTAATGGAATATCAAAATTAGGATCCTTTGCAAGTCTCACGTAGAACAATTAATAATTACAATCGATGAACGGATTAATGTAGCTTGTGCGTGCAAAAGGACTCAAATTCCAAAATTTTTAAGACTCTCAGAACAATAGCTTCAATAATATGACCAGAGCGAGAATTATATTGAACTATAATGCGGCGTACATATATATACATATACGTATATATATATATATATATATATATATATACGTATCTCTCTCTACAATGACTATTATAAATCATCAAAAGTAATAATTCAGATTATTATAACGAATCAATGTGTGAGCAATCGAAAGTATAGTTTTAGACATTTTTTATTTTCTTCTTTTGTATGCCAATTTCAATTTCCACAAATTACAAGTTTTCTGAAAGTTTCCTACCTATCCCAGAACAACGAAAAGGTGTCGTGCTGCAGGATGGTTGAAGCTATCGAGGTTGAAACTGAAAACGCACGTCACGGAGGAAAATGGTCACAGAGAAAAACGGCAAAGTTAAGAGAAAAATGTCAGCACATTTTCGATGTAAAAATAGTTATAGCTCGCAAAGAGAGAGACACCAGCCGTCGCCACTCGTTGGTTTTCCTCTTCGTTTCCTGTCCGTTCCATTCCGAAGATCGCCTAAACCGGATCAGGCGCAGGTGCAAGCAGTTGCATGCTACTGCTTGATTTTGCAATCTGCAACGTTAACGTCAGGTCGCACATTGAAAACCCTGTGTCTAGGCAAACTAAGTGCTTGTTTCAGCATAAATAACAAAAGTGAAAGAATTTCTATTGTCAATAATAAACCTAGTTACTAACAATGTATACATTCTTATATATTAATCTTAAATTATGAGAATAAAAATCTTAAGTAACAGGTTTTTATTAAAAATAACTTTTTTTTATGAGATAAAGGAGAGGAAAACTGAAGATCGGGATATTTGCCTAAGATCAAAGTAGTCAAATTGTAAGTCTTTTGAATATCAAATGCTGATGCGATAAATAAATTCAGATATTTCAATAAACCGAGGTGGTGGATTGGGTAACCAAAATAAGGAGCAGAAGGAACGACAGTTTAATTCAGTCTGACCTGGAAAACGAGGACTTACCGCAATCAACCGGATTAAATTATTTACTCTGGAAGATCTTTCTCGATGAAAAGAGGTAAGTTGGAAGGTCAGACACGCGTATTTTTGACTTGAAAAATTTATAGCCGCTATTAACTCATTAAAACTCATTAATTCTTTCAAACTTCGTAGAAAACCACAAAGGTTATTTGTACTCATTAACTCTAAATCAACGTATCTTTATCATAGAAATTGCGGAAACTTTTGAGATATTAAAAAAAGAATTAAAAGTTCTGGGGTCGTATTATCTTGAGTAATCACAAAAAAGCGACAATTAAAATTGATAAAAAGATTAATGAATCACTCGTCAAAATAAATGTTTCACAAAGTGATACAAAACAACTACCAAGTAAGTACAGAAACCACGAGTATAGAAGCAGAAAAAGCAGCAGACAATCAGACTATCAAGGAAAGGATTTATCGATGGACTAGTTGAAAGAAACTTTCAACGAAGATTCGTACCTGATGTTCCGGGTGTTTGTGCGATTTTCTGGCGTAGACTTTCAAGACCCTGCAGTTACACGCGACGGAGAGTGCCACTGCCGATCCCTGTGTAGCATCATACAATTATCATATGCATAATGGAATAGCTAGATAAAGTTGTATCATCGAATACACGCCTAAGAAACATGGCTTAACATTAATTTTTTTTAATAACAGAAAAGTTTGGATTTGTTTTCAGAAAAACATTTATTCTAAATTTTTATCTACGAATGGCAAAAGAGTGCATATATACATATATGATAAAATAAGTATAAATCTCTAACTATGTAATGAATAGATTTATGTAATGAATAGTTTCAAAAAATTATAAACGTCTTGAATTCTTGAATATCATTGACAAAGGAGAGAAAGAATGAGAAACTAGGGAGAGAAAAATGTATACAATATTAAAAATATAATTTAAGTAAGTAAAGTGTTTAATTTTTAAAACTATTCAGAAAAACTAGAGAGATTTAAAAAATCGCCCAGAAACTGTTCCACAGTCTCGACCACATTTGAATTGAAAAAAAACTATAAAAGATAGGATTTAAGTGACGAACGGAAGGAAAGACGAACATGACAGGATGAGAGTGTGCAATTGGACACAGAATGGGTAAAGTAAGAAGAGAGATCGGCACTTCTACGCTTTGATCGCGAAAAGCTCCTGCTGTTGAAGAACATTCGACTCAGCAAACTCGACTGGTAGGAAGAAATATGGAAGCACATTGTATATAAGTATATATGGAAGCACATTATATATACATATATGTATACACACACACACACACACACACACACACACACACACATGTATGTATGTGTATGTATGTATGTATATATATATATATATATAGGGAGAGAGAGAGAGAGGGAGAGAGAAGCCGTTTACGCTTGATGCAAGATCGAACGCATCAAGAACGGAAAGTTCTTCGAAGAGCTTACCGGAAAAGGGTACGGGAAAGAGATTCCGCGCGTTCCTGCGTTTGCCCTTTCACTTCTTTATGCGCGGCGCGATGCTGAGCGTCGCGTCGTCGAGAACTCGACCGAGATCTCTCAATTGGAATTGAAGTCGGTATAATATTGGTGCCACCGTCAGCGAATACCGTACCGCATGATAATTGGTATATTTGCATTTACAAGAAATCAAATTAAATTTCAAATTTGTTAAGCTAAATTGTGATCGAACGATGAAGAGAGAGTGTGGTCTGAATAATGGTCCGAATAATGGTCCGCGTGATGGTCTGTGCACACATAATGGCTTCAAATAATGGCTCGAATAATAGTTCAAATAATGGTCCAAAATAATGGTTTCAGAGATGATCCATAAAAATATCTAGTATTAAAAAATGTGTAATATTCAGTTCATTAATTTTTGAATCTAAAGAAATCAGACATGACAAAAATGTGTCACTCCCGGGGATTTAATGATTTCTCATCTTTCAACGCCTGCCTTTAATGCGCGCTCGTATATTTTTATAGTGCCATAATCCATCGAAATTACGGTGGAAATATTGCGGTCGTATGGTACATCGTTAGGAAAGGAGTACTGGGAAAGAAATAGCATCTCGGTGAATCTTCCACCTCCGAGACTCTTTTTGTACCGCATATCTCGCCTACGTATTTGACGGGAAATGGTCCGTATGCTTTTTGCCGCGTATCTTTCCTCTACATACCTGAAGAGAATGACCCGTACAGAAAACCGCCCATAGGAAGGGAATTTTCCAGACTCTGGACGCCACCCCGCAACCGGCCACCACACCGATGATCAAACTGACTTTCAGGAAAAGCATCAGCTGCAACGTCCGCCTCCTCTTCATCTTCTCACGTTGTTTTATCTCGAGTTGCATGCTGCACGTGTACCTGCATGTGTACGAGCGCGACTTACGCGATGTGTAAATCCACGACCGAGAAAGGGGGACATGCGAAACTTTCGGGTGGAGATAATACAAAAAAGCAAAGTTTGAAATTACAAAGATGAAAATGTACGAGTTAGCTTAAGAAACTGTGTACAATCCGCAACTTTTACGCGTGAAAAAACACAGTTGGAGTTCGTTAATGAAAACGAAAATGTCGGAATTGTATTATTAGAAGCGCGAGCGCGCATTAGATTGTACGTTATAAAAAAATATATTTTTTAGAAGATCTATTCAGTTATTAAATTAATATTAGATCGTAATATTAGATCATAATAAAAGGATGTTCATACCGTGACACGACTGTAATAAAAAGATGTCCATACCTTGATACGATCGCAGCCTTGACGAGGTAGTAACCGGAAATTACTAGCAGCAGAACGACTGGTAAACCGTACGCGTAAACTGTCGCTGTGGCTCCTAGAAACCTATAAAATCAATAGGAGTAAAAGATTAAATATCCGTAAATAAATTAATAAGAAGGACACATAACACAAAACTTATTTGTACAAATGTACATGTTTATATAAATTTTATTATATGTATTTAATTTATATGATAAATGTAATAAAAAATCATCAAAAGGTTGGAAAAAGATATTGCTGCATTCAATATAATTCTCTGTTTATTAAATATCTCTATTTATTAAATATTTGAGTTATTATTATTCTTACAATCAAAGACTCGAAAGAGCTGGAATTTCAGTTCTATTAAAGGCTAAAAATATTGCATAAAAATTCACTCCAGCGTGCAATTCTCATGAAATAGGAGAAACATGAAGAAAGATGACGGAAATATTTATCAGCTGCCGTTTATTAAGTCTCACATATATAAATCGCACGTGCGAATGCGCGAAGGGAATACCAAAAATCCCGTCGCTTTCTTCAGCGAAAAACAGATTGGGTCAAAGAGCGAGTGTCTACAAAATGCGCGATTTTATCGGGATTCCGACGATATCGAATACTCATTTTCAGCACTCGCCTACTTTGCACATGTCGGCAGTTCGATTTTTATACACGTCGCACGAAAGAAATATTTCCCGCCATTTATTTTTCTTGATTACATCTCGGATATTCGCAATCAGACGAGATGAAACTGTAACGAATGAAAACAACTCTTCTCTCCGAGTACATCTGAATTGAAACTGTCGTAGAGAAAAAAAATTAAATAAAATCAACTCAATTGTTATCAAATACCACAGTAACAACTAACAATGTATATAATAATAATAATAATATATAGAATGATTTGAAAGTTGAAAATCGAAATCATTCTAATCATTTTTTATTTAAAATTATGTGAAACACGGAAACATTGAAAAAAAGTGTTTAATTTTAAGATATTAAAATGTTTTATTTTTGTCTCTATTTTTTAAACACCTAGATGTTTTAGTTTTAAACTTTTTCCATAAACAAAATACTGTGTTTGAATTTAAAATACATAGTATTTTCAATCCAAACACTTGATGTTTTGTTTATTGAAAAAATTTAAAACTAAAACATCTTTGTATTTTCAATCCGAACACTTAATGTTTTATTTATTGAAGAAGTTTAAAACTAAAATATCTTTAAATGTTTAAGAAATAGAGACAAGAACAAAACATTTTAATATCTTAAAATTAAACACTTCTTTTTTCAGTAAACGACGTTGTAATACTAATATTTTTCACTTCGCAAAATTTTAATTTCATTTCCACTTTTCTTAAATCTTTTCATCTCTTTTTAATACTTGTAACAATGGAATTGTTACGTTGAACTGAAATTATTACGAGTGCTATTATTGATCCCGCTACAATTATACCACCCATTTTCTGGAAACCGCCGAGAGATTAAAAGTCAGATTAGATCCTTAATTCCAACGTCAACAATCTTAAATTATAACAAAGAAAAAGAAAAGGAAAAATACGTGGATAAATCTAGGAAGCTGGATACGCTATGCAAATGAATTTTTGCGGAAGAAAATTGCTTTCATGATAACAGCGTTGCTGAATGCAATAAAAATTCTTAACGATACAATCATCAATTAATATTAAAATCATTTTCATTAACTTTAAAGAATTTTAACACGCTTAATTTTCTCTTTCTTCTGAAACGTTGATTTGAAATTAATAATACTTTCACATATGAAATTGCTCGTATGAAGCAAAAAAAGAAAAACGTCTATTTTTAAAGTTTTCCATTTATAAAATAAAATCGATCTATATATGTATATACATGTATAAAGTCTAAATATTTAAAAACAAATAAGATGTAAATTTTGACAAAAAATATAACTATGCTGAATCAAAAATTTATAAGAAATATGTTCCACAAAATATTCAATATAATTAATATATTAATGTTAAAACATATAATAAATATGTAAAAACATATAAATATCTTGGAAACATATAAATATCTTGGAATTTATAATTTTGCAAGGGATGCAAAGAAAAATCGCGTATCTACCTACACGCAATGATACAAGATATACATGCTTGTATCAAAATACCTTACTTTGAGAAATAGCAAGAATCTCATTCGGGTTCGGTATTCCGGTTCGTCGTCGTTGGGCGAATCTGATTTAACGAAAATTGGTCGTTCGACAAGATTTCACCGCGGGACAGAGGCAGATGGCAAGGAAGATGAAGGAAAGAAAGAGATAGCAAGGAACAGAGGGCGGAAGACTCTGAAAATAAATAAATGATCTGCCCTGTATACACGCAACATTCCTCCGGAGGACGTTTCCGACGAACCACGACATTTCCGCTTTTCCCTCGTCCAATATCTCGACGATAGTTCGAGCATGGAAAAAGAACTCCAGCGCTTTTCCGTCAGAGGATTCTCTTTGCGGCTTGGAAAAACTGAACCCCCCATCATCGTTATCGCGCGCGCGCTGCCGTGTCGTCTCCACCTACCCTTGGCAACCCCCAGCGAATAAAGTGGGTCGCAGCAGCGGAACGCGAGCACGACGGAATGTGCATATTAGGAACAGAGAGCTGCATTAACTCACGCTCTCACGAAGAGAGACGCAAATGCCTGGTAATTTTCGCGGTGCGGTAAGTTTTACCCGACAGGGAAAACGATTTTCTCTTGACCGAGAACAGATGGAACAAACTAACAAATCACTCTGTGTGTGAACCGAGTAAATAAATATAAAATGTCAAGTTTAATGAGAGTTATCCCTCAGATTAAAATAACGTAAAATTGAATTGTAATATATTATTCTTTACATATCGGACAGTCAATAAAATATCAAAATAATCCTATTTAGTATTTATTTTATTTTTAAATTGTCGCAAATGTTATAATAAATAGAACTGAAAATAAACATTTCAAGATCAGTACAAACCTAATTCAACACGTGAAATGCAAGCAAAAGAATAAAGTGCAGAAATGATATAAAAAATATCCAAGTTCTCTCTTCATTTTATGAAAATGTAAAAGTAGCAAATGAACCGTGTCAAGAAGTTTTAGACCGAATAAATACGAAAGTAAAAACGAACTAACGAAAAAATTCAAGCTAATAATTTAATTTAAAAAAATACAAAGTATTTAACACTATAAGTTAATAAGTCTTCTTTCAAGACTTTGACATTATAAAGAAAATTGTTTCATAAGAATTTTAAGAACAATTAATTATTAAATTATATTATAATCTCGTATAACGATATCTTGTTATCATATCATCCCTTATTTTTATATTATATTTAACTTGCAGTAAATCAAGCGTATAATAATAATACGTAGAGAAAGAATAATAATAATTGAAGAATAATAATTGAAAACAAATCTCAGATTAATAAGAAATTTTCAATTATACATGTATATAATCTGTCAATTTGTTTTGACGGCTAAAATCTTACCAGCAATTGAAGGGAGTGAGATCAACAACATCCCAGAAATTATGACTTTCACGACTCTGCAAAAGAGCCGCCGCTACGAGACTGATCAACGGCGCGCCCCAGGCAAACAGGCTATACTTCATGTACGTCGGTGGGTCGTCGCGACGCGGCAGCGACGCTACGGTAGCGTACAGATGATGGCACATCGCCGCCAACCAGCAGACCACCGATACCCGAAGATATTGCAAACTCAGACCGAGCGAAATGCAGAGTTCCGAATCCTGAAAATCAATAATGAACATCATTGTAATCGATGTCTGCAAAAGCCCATTACCTTTAGAATAAAAGTCAACGTTCTTTGTAACGCAAACAGAGACATTCAGTCGCTTCTAATAATAATCCAGAAATTGGTTGAAACTTTAATTTAATGAAACGCTGCAATTTATTCGCGATTAAAGCAATGCAATTAATATAAATTAATATTTATGTGTTTGAAAGATACGTGTGTAAACATAAAGATGAAATTAATTCTAGATTATCGGAAAAAGATTTTATAATAATATGAATATCACAATGCGCATATATATATACGTACATTATACGTAACCAAATTATAACATAAGAATAAAATTTTAGAGCTGACATTAATTTTGAGATACTTTTCCATGTTACAAATGGAAAAATTAAAATAAATTTCATTCTTAATTAAAAAAGATATAAATATAACGAAAACGAATCAGTATATCAAAGGGCAAATGGTATAAGACATTGATCGTATCTTTTCATTCGATTTATGAGTATAGTGAACCATGAATTTCGTATATATACGAACGGAATCGTCCAGCAATATTTTTCAGCGTGGATAAACGTCACCGTCAATTTGTTCCATGACGAATGGTGCGAGAATATGAGAAATTCAGGATAGTAGCCTAAACGCACAGCTCGTGGATATACTATATAGTAGTATATCCAGCGAATTATTCACGCTGAAAATCCCACAATGCCGATCGATATATCTATTCTGCATGCAATATCACAAAATAATCGATCGATATCAACGTTAACAAACACGCCGTTGATTCGCTAATTTATGGAACGGGCCGTATTGGATAAATAGCATGGCATTAGTATTATTGTGTAGTAATGATGTATGAAAGCTCTTAATACCCTCGTTGTACTTTCACGGCTAAAATAATTTGCCGCAACAGCTATGTAACACATACACACAGACACAAAACACACACCATGAAATTTGATTCAAAATAAACTTCCCTCGATATCGTGCAATCCGTTTAACATCGATGTAGTACAAAATAATGGCTAGCATGTTATTGTAACCAATTTGAAAGCTAAATAATTACAATTAATTGTTATTCCACAACAATTCAGGTCAGAGCATGGGCCTATTTCAGAAATCGAAACAATAAAATTAAAAAAATAGAATAGAATTTCTGGAAATAGAATTTATCTTTTGATAAAAAATTGGATGGAATATGAAATAAAATTAAAAATTTTAAACTACAACACTTCAGTCTAACTAGGCGAGACTTTTATTTTTAGATAATATTTTATTCTTATAGATAAATACTTAAATTTGTGCTAATTTTGCTATGTAAACTTAAAATCTGTGATAATTTTCTCATTAAGATATGTACATATTCCAGTATAAATTTAGATCATCCATAGACTCATGCGACAGATTACTGTAACATCCAATATTTTCTCTTATAATTAAAATGAGCTGACAAGAGTCTCTTCAAGATGTATATATAATATATAAAATTAAAGTATTCATTTTTAACAAATCGACAATTTCCTACAACGTGCAACGTGATGCTAAAAGAGAAATCGTTACGGACTTTTTAGTATTAAACGATACTTCGTCGCATACGATACTTCTCTCGATACATGGTCGCAACAATCGTACGTGCTCGCGCATCGAAACGGAAGTGGAAATAAATTGGAGGGTGCGCGCGGATGCCTTTCTGGAATTCGCAGCTCACGCCGGGATACAAAGGACCAGTTTGCAAAGCGAAATTGCATCGAGCGAACCAACGATTTACGTCAGAGGACAGATTTTACATGGACATACGTCTTCAAACGATATTCCTCTGCAATTCTTGCGCACCATTAAACCCTCCGCCGCGCCGTCCCATTTTCATCTTATTCGGATGGGCCGTCGAATAACATTTGGAACGCCAACTAAATTCGTATATCACTCGTGTCCAAGTATAAAATAAAATTAGAATTTTAATTAAAGCAAAAATAAAATGCACTGTAACTTTAAATAAACCATTTTACATCAAAACAATCTTTTATCGTATGCAATTTTTTTTCGCGAATTGATAATCTATTAGATTGTTATTCTATCCAACAGTCTCGTTTCCAACATCCGGATGAAAAATATTTTCTACGTGGAATATAAAATTTAATTCTGCATATACGCGAACGATTGAACTGTGCATGAGGAAAATCAAATTATGTTATTAGTACTTCCGGCAAAATACCGCAGCGAAGTAATATAACACAGTTTATCTTCGCTTTCTCGAGTCTCGATATACGAGAACTCTCTTCGGGAATTTCGTTATAACGCGAATTCGTAACACACACGAAACTCACCGCGATGTAAAGTTTCAAGTTATTTCTCCTGGTTGTCGGGCAACATTCTTATTCGACCAAATTTTCGTTTCGGAATTCAATAAACTCTCATGCCAGTTTCCTCGAGAATTATTTCACCAATGATACAATTCAAGCAGTAGTTTCAAGACAGAAGTTGCGGTACGCATGCAACCGCAGTTATTGTTGTCGCAATTTAATTTGACTCAATAATATCACCAAGCCACGGCATGACGAATCGTTCTTACAACAACACGACCGCGTTGAAATGAATTCTCGCACGTAATGAAACAACATTCGTCGCCCCGAGAATGATGTTATTGTTACCGGCATGAAACATTGACGAACTAGTTTGATGTGGTTGCAGCTGCGAAAATATCGAGAAACGTTGCTGGAAATAATTTTCGAAATGTCGACCAGAGCGTAAAATTTCATAATTGTATTTGCCGTCGTGAAGTGAAGAAATTTGTTTTTAGGACCTGCAGCCTATTCTGCAACTCTTAACGCAAGTTTCGTTATTGTTATAACGTCGTTGCGCAGCTTTTTTACTTAAAGTTACATGATAAAAAAAATATGCGCCACAATGTTACATAACGATAATGAAACTAGCGATAATGAAACTTACAGAATAATCCTGCTGGCCTTGTTGAATCGCGTCATCTTGCGAGGAAAAATAATTTTATTACGAATGTCGGGAATTAAGCTAACATGAGTTTCCAGTAATTCGTTTCCAGTTTCGCATTAATAAGGTTAACGATGAAAAGAGACTTGAATTTCAAACTAGCAGCAGTATCGAGTTGAATCAAAGATACTACTGTAACGGTGTGTAATTCGAGCATAGAGTCTGACATATCAACGGTATGAAACAAATGTCGCGTAATATCACTTTCTCAAAAATATTTTTCGCAGGTGCATCTGGCGTGGTAATGTTTTTGTAAAAAAAATTTTTTTCCCGTAAAACAAATATTTTTATAAAAAATAAAATCTTTCGGATAAAAATGTTACCTCACGCAAAATTTTACCTTATAATTTTACCTGTTGCAATTTTCAACCTTCAATCATCCGTTAAATTTATTAAATCAACAATAGCTGTCAATTATCATGTATGAATATCATTATAGTTTAAAACATTAAATGTTAGATAACAAAAAAATTATTTTTTTAAGTGTCTCGACAATTAATAGCACAAAAATTAAATCACAGACTTTAAAACATGCACGAAGTTTTTAAAACGTGATAGAATAACAATGTTATTTTTTTTTCTATTTTGCAGTTACACGATAAGTGTTTTATTTATACCTTCACCACTGAAATCATTCTTTTCTCTTTTCGCTCAAATCACCGTGGCTTTCGACGAGCTTGCGTAAAATCTAGATAGACTGGACTAGTCTATTGAAATCTCCAATTGATCGAACGAAGTATTCTAGATGGGATTAAAAAAATATATAAAGAGAGGATAAAAAATCTTTTAAAGGAATTATTCCTAAATTATTTAAAGCTACGTCACACGCATGATAATAGTAAAAGAGACGGTTGAAAAGCATATGAAAGCTTGACTTGGTCGTCTTTCAGTACGTGAGTAATCTCTGGATTATCCTCGTGTCTGAGAGCCACATAGGATGTTGAACGACAAGATTTGATCTCATCGTCAATGAAAATCGATACCTCTCTGAGGTGACTTCAGAAAGGAAGGTTGCTTATGGATATTAACTAAACACACCACATTCGTATCATATATTCTAATACTACAAATAATATTAAATTAATAATATTTAATTAATAATACTAAATTGAATATATCATATATACATAAAATATATTATATATATATTTAAAATATAATAAAAAATAAATTATAATTAAATATATTATTATTTGTAATTAAATGTATATCGCTAACAAAACATCAAATTAAATTCTACGAAAATAAATTTTATTTTTTTAATTAATAAGCACAATATATTTAAAATAATAATAGTACTATTAATTTACTATTTAAAATAATATTTATTAAGTATACACATTTCTTTTTATTCATTTATATTCCTGACAAATAATTTGTGAAAAGCATTTCATCTCTGATCATAAGTTAAAAGCCATTAATGTTCCAATACTTTTATTTAGAAAAAACTCGCGGCGAATTGGCCAAATGATTCGTATCAATTCGAGAAATAGTGATCGTTTCAGGATGTTTTATCTAGTGTGTAGAATTATCGTGAGATTTTTACGGTTGCATTGCCACGAGTACCATTTGGCCTTTTCGTCGCAACTGTAATTGGCAAAGTTTTTATTTCGCTGTACGAGTTGCCCATTTATTAAAAACGGGTAAAACGATATTACTGTCCGTTTTCAAATCCCCTAATTCCTCTATTTAAAATTGAACATAGTACAGATTATGATATTCTCATTGATGTAAAATATTGGAAATAATCTTGTCAGTAATTTTTACGAACAATGTATGAAAGATGATTGATATTATTTATAATCAATTAAATAATATCAACTACTAATTCAAATAAAAAATAATTAAATTTTCTCTTAATTTTTAATACAATACGTTATTCATTATAATTTAAATAATAATTTTATTTAAATAATATTTTAAAAAATTGAGATAAAAATAATTAGAAGGAAACTATATGAAAGTATGAAGCTTATGAAACGA